GTATTGTAAAGCGAAAATTAGTAATTTTTGTAAATGCAATAGCACATGAATAAATGCAAAAAAAAAAATATTTGCGTTAGAAACAACAACATTAATTGCAATTCATGACGCTAGCGTCAAAAAATATTGAATTTCATTCCCTTTGCAAATTGTTTGTTCTATGGGAACTCGACTCTGAATACTAATATGGACGCAAATTTTGAAAGCAAGAAAGTACCTTCCGATTATGTTATATCAACTCTTAGATGTTATAAGCCAAATGACTGAGACAAATGAAAATATTGCAAGGTAAAATAATAAAAAACGTGAAAAAATTTTAAATGTACAATATATAAGAATCAATAAGTTATAAATATATATAAAATCGCTTTAATTAAGAAAAATAAAATAACATTAAAAATGTAAACATAAATTAAGAAAATTCTGAACAAACAAAATCTATGAAAAATTTAATTGTTACGACAACATCGGACATATGATTTTACGATTCATTTCAATAAATGTTATCACCTATAAGTTGTTAATGAAGGCATTAATTGGCACTTGTTCGAACGTATTGGTATAATACCATTTATATCATCTGTATAATGTTAAAAATTATGTTCGGCTTCATTTATTCAAAAAATAAATAATTCATAATATAAAATTAAAAATAAAACCAATGTTAAATAAGTTGAAAAAATCATAAACTACGACAACTCATAATCTCATTATACATACTTACATATATACACGTATATATTATATAAGTATGTAAAATAAAATTGAATTTTTTTTATAAATGAATTCAAATTTTTTTAACTATTTTTGGTCATTCAACTCATTTTCTAAATTTTTTATTAAAAATAACCATATCTATATTAAATATTCTGCATGTCTAATATAAATAGAAATTCTAATTTCTATAATTTATTTATATTCATACATACATACATGGTAAACATATAATATGTATATACCATTGATTTAATATTATAATTAAACTATAATAAATGCAATAATAAATTTCCCAACATATATACAGGAGAAATAAATAAATCGCTGTATAAATAAAATAATAATATGAAAAAAAAATTTTTTTTTAATTAATTAATGATGAAAAATTTTAATTCTTTGCAAAATTTATGATTTCAATAAGAAAAACCAAAAATCGTGACCTAAACAAATTGTAATTCTTTCAAATATTTTATAGCAAATTTTTTTTTTTTTTCTTATTTTATACTTCATTGAATTCATTTTGAAGACGCACATGCATTCTTTTAAAATGTGGGTATAAAATGAGTGAGAAAAAATTTTCAATTGAAATATTTCATATGTGTTTTTTTTTTTTTTGTATAATTAAATAAAAATTAAAATTTCACTTTTTTTTCTCAAATTTTTTCCTATAAAATATGATTGATAAACGCTTTTGTTTCTTCTTCTTTTTAATATAAACAATTTAAAGTAAAAAAATCATATTGAATTTTTTTTTAAATAAAATATAGGAAAATTTATATTGGGGTTAGCCAAATTTCAGTTATTTATTTTAAGAAATTATAATTATAATTTTTTTTTTAGATTTAATGTTTAATAAATTATTTATAATTTTTGTTTAATAATAAATTAATATTTTTTGTATGGCGCATACCATTCTTAATATATATACATATATATATAACAATATAAAGATGAAATATAATAGTGATAAAGATTGAAATATAAAAAAATTGAAAGAGATAAAAGAGAAAAAAATTTAAATTATACTTAAGCATTTTTTATTTTTTTTTTAATATTTCAATTGTATAAACAAAATGAATTTGTTATAAAATTTGCTAATTTTATGTAGGTATATTTCTAATATTATTATCAAACAAAAATGTGATTATATATATACGAGGTTATTATAATAATTTTTCACGTTAATTAAGTGTTGTAAGAGAATGAATCATAAATAGCCAAACCTCGGTAAACGAAACAGGAAATTGCTTATTAAAGGTTCTGTTTGTAATTATTTTCATGTTTTGAGCCTGTCAATTAACCGCAGAAATTGTCTGATTTTTACGCCTTCAAACTATTTTCTTTGGGAAATTTTTTTTTATTTTGACCGTCCTTTACAGATCACTGCTTCAAAATAGAGAATTAAAATTGACAATAATTTAAAAATTGATCCTTCAAAGGTTCTAACCTAAAACGTGCTGGCAATTTCATTGATTTATTAATTCGATTAAAAATTAGCATGCAGTTAAATTAAGAATTAATTTTTTTTTTTGATATTCTTAGAATTTTTTATTATTCTTGCTTGATTTTAATTACTACCTAGTTACTATTCCACATTTTTCATTCTAAAATTTTTTCAAAAAATATTAATTTGAAAATAATAAATTTTTTTGCATACCATTTAGGCGCACAACACAAAAATGCATACAAAATTTATTCACTTTGTTTTTAAGAGTGAGACGTTCGTTCAGTTGATAATTTGAGAAAAAATGCAAAAATCCAATTGAAAAAATGAGTAATCTTATGGAAAAATTAAATATCCATTAGAAAATACTGAGAATTCTGTATTTTCTAATAAATTTATACACACGATCAGGCTGAGTAGCTATTTATTATGTATATTAAAAAAAACATTACTTTAAAATTAAAATATATAAATTAAAATTAAATTTTGTGTACAAAAATTAAAGAAGTCAAACTATATAATAATTTAATCCGTTTATTAAAATAGCTATCCCTCAAGAAAATAGTGAAAAAATTAAATTATGTATAATAAAATAAATTTTATATGTATACTTTTTGAATTCTAAATAAAAATTATAAATTCATAATTTTATATAAAAAGTTAAATAATTTTAAAAATGAATAAAGTTGATTTAAAATTTATATATGTAGAAAAACAAAAATGTATTAGGAAAATTAAAACAAGCAGCTCTATTCAATTTAAAAATTCCACTATAATTACAAATAAATTTTATCATATAAAAAAAATATAAATAAATTAATTTGATATTAATATTTTATAATTAATAATTAATTATTTTTTTATGCAAAAAAAAAATTCTTGAAATTACCACAATAAATTGTAAAAATTTTGCATACTTAATTAAAACAATTTTATTTAAAAAAATATTTATTTATTTTGAATATTTGAAAAATTTGTTTTTCCTTCGTTTCTACTTTTTTTTTTGTTAAATTTTTTTATTTCAATAATAATTTATGCTAATTTATTATAATAATTAAAATTAAATAATTTGAATTTCATATTATTTTATATGTGTATGTAGGTATTTATGAATTAATAACACCAAAATTGGTATAAAAAAATATCTACCACAAAAATGCTGAATTTTGAATTTTTCATAATTATGCGATTTTCTTTTTATATTGCATGTATCTACGTACGTATATGTGTGTGTTTAGTTATTACTAGGGCCATTTCACCTTCAAAATGAAATTTTCTAAAATTGTAAGTACATATTTTTGTTTGTCGCTTTTTGTTTTTGTGTTTTGTTCTAATATATTATATGTCTGTAAGTATATCTATAAAATTATAATTATTTTTACACCATATTATGTTGTGTTTTATATATTTTGTATTTTTGCAGAAGGTCACCTCTTTTTTTTTTTTTTTTTTTTTTTTTTTGAAATAAATATATATTATATTGAATATATGCAATATAGGATTTTAAAACAAATAAGCAATGAGAATCAAAAAGAAAAATAACAAAACAAAAGAAAAAAAAAAGATTCATTTATACCAATTGGTCCCCAGCTAAAAAGTATTTTTATAAAAACATTTGCTTTTTTTCTTGTCTTTGTTTTCTTTTCATTTTTCAATTATTTGGTATAAATTTCGATGTAAAAATATTTTTATTAAAAACATTTTATAAAAGATTTATACTGACTGATTATTTTTTTTTTTAATTTTATTTTAATTTTAATAGATAATTTGTATATACATACATATATATATGATGCATATGTTTATAAAATATTTATAATTATAATTATTATAAATTATAATTTATTTTGTAAAATTCAATTTAAAATTATATTTAAATTAATTGTTTGATAGCGCATTTTTTTTTTTCCAAATAGTACTTTTGTATATATATATGATATATAGCAGAGATTCCTGAACTTTTTTCTCTCGTAGACCCCTTATCGTGATTTTCAATTTTTTGTACATCGTCTTGCTACTTTCTTTAATAAATGTAAATTTTTAACAATAGCAAGGTACATCCCACCTTTGATGTGAGAAAATTAAATAAAAAACTTATTTAATTAAATTCAAATTTTTTCGTAGACTTCTAGCAGGTCTTCATGAACCCTTGGGGATTTATATAGACCATTTTGGAAATCACTGATATATGGTATGTATACAATAGTACTATAATGCAAAATAATTGCATGTAAATATTAAATTATATTATTATTAAGTATATTGTACTATGTATAATATATATATAAATATAAATATATTTTAACATTATTATAATAAATTTAAATTGCACATTTTTACCTACTTACGTATACTTTATAATTTAAAATTATTTTTAAATTTATTTTATTTGTAATATTTTTTTTTTTTTTTGGTTTTGTTCAATTTTCTAAATTTTAAAGAATGTTCTAATTAATTTTTTTTTTTTTTTTGTTATTTTACTTTTACTTTATAAATATTTTTAATTTAATTTGTTTTGATTGTTCGTTTTTCTTTAACAATTTTTGATTTTTTTAAGTTGTCTTTTATTTATTTTTTTTTTTTGTTCACATTATATTGCAATTTTTAATTATTATTGTATAAAATATTTAAATTTAATTTTTTAAATTCGAATATTTTTATTTTTTTAATATTTTACAAATATTAATTTTAATATTGTAATAATTTTATTTGCATATAAAATTTTCAAAAAAAAATATATAAATTAATTTTAATATTTATTTTTTTTTTGGTTTTGATGTTTTTGTATTAACAAATTAATTTTAATTAAATAATTTTTGAAAACACTTTAAATACATACCATACATGTATTTAACTACAAAATTAACACGATTTCCCCATTCGTAAGCCATGATTTATTATTTTATTGCTATAGTGATGAGTATAAGAAAATCTTTTTTTTTTATTTGATTTTAAAGAATTAACTTTAAAAAAAAAATTTATTACTATATACTTATTGGCAAAAAAAAAAAATTTAAATATTTTTTTTTAATATAATTTTTTTTTTTTTTAGAAGACTTATTCCTTCATATCACTCTGACAATAAAATAATGAATGTTAAACTATTGTCTAGCTAATAAAGTTATCGGTGTTTCAAATAATGATTTCTCTTACTTATTGTATATATATATATATATATATATATATACAATATATATATATATATATATACATATAGGTAATAATAATACCAATAACGATCTATATTTATTGTATACAATATTATTTAATTTAAATTCATACTTTATAAAAACATTATTTTATTTTTTATTTATTTTTTTATTTTTTTTTTTCAATTTTACAAATACAAATAATTTTATTATGTTAATTTTATTCCTTATTACATTTATGTACCTACATATATATACATTTTGTTTTTATTCTCTCTTTTTTTATTTTGCATATATAACATAGTTGTTAATATTTCTAAAAGAAACAAAAAAAAAAAAAAACAAACATAATATAAAATTAATTGTTACTTTGTCATACTTTTAAACATTAAGATATATTAAAAATGGGGTTAATAAGATTGCGCATACTCATTAGAAAAACAAAAAATCAAAAAAAAATTTAATAGATAGATAGAAGATGATGATGGCTCCCCTATAATGTCACCACCTATACATACATAAATGCAAGAATATCAAAATAAAAAGAAAAATTATATATGAAGTTAAATTAAAAATTAAAAAAGGAACAACTTGTAAAGCAAATAAAATATACAACGAGAGTAAAACACAACAGGTACTTGTACAATAATAAAAATAAGAAAAATTAAATAAAAAATTTTAATTTTTATGTAATGTCGCAATAAATATGTAGGTACATGTTTTTCTTCATTTTTATTTTTTTTTTAATATATAAAAATAATTATGTACATATTATAATGTGTACATATTATAATATGTTGTTTATTTACATCTTATTGTAATAATAATATTGTATACAATATTAATTTTGTTTAATTAACAGGGTGTTTCGCAAGGTGGTGAAAGTTTGCAAATAATTTTAGGGATAATTGAGAGATTGAAAAAAATATTGTATGGAGATTTATCTTAATGGAAATTTCTTCATGCAACTGCAGAACAGATGGATAACGTAATCAAAGGAACGAGTTAAAGGCAGAAAAATTCATTAAAAAAATTTTTCTTCTCGAACTGGACTCGAACCAGTGACCTACCGCTTTCTAGGCGGACGCTCTACCAACTGAGCTACAGAGGCATGAAGAAATTGCCGACGAAATGTTCTCTACATTCCTTATACTGTAATTCACAAGATTACTAAGTATTTGTTTTGTTTACATTGATTGCTACATACAATCTACTATTGAAACACACAATAATAAGAACATATATATTTATAGGATTGTGCCTATTGCACTAATTAAATTATGAATTTTACTAATACAACATCATAGTTGCGGAATTAATAAGAATGTGCTTATTACACTACTAATTTATCTTAATGGAAATTTCTTCATGCAACTGGAAATTTCTTCATTGTATGGAGAATTTTTACTTCTCATTGTAACGTGTCAAAAAAATATAAATAATAAAAATAATAACAAAAATTTCCAAGAAATTTTGTGTTTAAAAAACAAAAAAAAAAACATTAAAAAAAAATAAATCAAAAATTCTCACATTAGTCGTAGTCTTTTCCCTGGAAGACTATAGGTCAGACAGTGTGTCAGATATAATTCATTGTAGGAACAAAAATAAATATTTATCAATTATTTGTTAAATAAGATGCCTTTAAAATAAGGTGCCTTTAAAATAAGGTTCCTTTAAAATAAGGTGTCTTTAAAATAAGGTGCCTTAAAGTGACAAAGTGATTACTTTATGTTGCATGATTACGAAGTTATTACCTATTATTTGTATGAAGGAAAAATTTGGGACCGATTTTTTTCTCAACAGATTGCTGGTCGAAAACGAGTATATTTGTTCTCCTTCCTTTGCCCCCCCACCCCACAAATACTATTTTTTATTGGATATTAATGAAAGAATCATCACTGAAATAATTTGCAAACTTATGCACAAAACCCTGTATATTAGTAAAGTTGTAAAGTACATTTGTATAATATTAAAATTACATATATATTTTTATATAATGACAATAATTACAAATACAATGAATTTTTGTCAATTTTTATGCCAATGCTCATAGATTTTAGTTTTTGTTTGTTGTTTGTAGGTACATAGAAAATATTATAAAACATTTGCATATACATATATATTTATATATTTTTATATAATAATAAACAATATGCAATAAAATTACATGTAATATATATAAAGTATATTTAAAAATGTTAATAAAAATAATAAGAATATAAAAAAAAAGAAAGAAAATTAATACAAATGCAAAAACAATTTATGCACTTTTTTCTTTTTCTTATTATTATTGTTATTTGCCCTAATATTAGGAATTTTAAAAAGTGGTTGTTCAATAAAAATAGAAAAAAGAATATAATAATAATGTAGAAATATAAACAAATAATAAATATATTAGACAAAAATTTAGTTCCGCTTCGAATCAATCTAGGAAATATTCGATTTGGATTTTCTTATTTTTTTTTTTTTTTATATAATTTGGCATATAAAATTATTAGACATATTTTTAAGTAATAAGTTTTAAGGATGTTGTATGAGATGGGAAAAATTTAAGTGTAATCCCATAATATTTATAATACAAAATAAGTAAAATTTAGGGAATATTTAATTGGACTAATAATTTTACTCGAATTTTCTTTATTAATTATTAAAAAAAAAAACTTTATTAATTATTAAATAATTCGCTAAAAATTCAAATTTAAATTACAGTTCTTAAAAAACAAATATTATAAATATATTATTTTTTTTTAAACTAAAAATTATTATATAAATAATTAATATTACCCAGATTAAAATATTATAATTTTCTTAATCTGGAAAACATAAAATTGATTTTCATTTAAATTTTTCATATTTTATCTAGAAAAGCATTGGTTTCTAGCTTCAAAATTATAGTACCTTAATTTACTCTCAAAATAGTCTTTCTCTGATTATTCTAGTGAAAGCTAATCCAAAAACAAATTATTTGTACCTGAGAGGCAATTATTTGATTTTGAATTTTTATTTATTTTTTATTAATTCCCTTATGTTTCTGCTTAAACTTGATATTCAAATTGTAATTGCTTTTATACTTAATTAAAAAAAAATAACATTTAAAAAAAAAAATAAAAAATAAAAATATTTTGAAACTACAGTAATTTTGTTTCATGTTTCAGATGAATCCGTTTAAAAAATATCGGAAATTATTCTTTTAATTTTATGTATTTTTAAAAGGTTATCTTTCATATATTTATGATGATCAACAATTGTTAAAACGTTTTTTAATATCTTAAACATCTACACAAGTATCTGTAAATATACTTGTAATAAAATAGACTTTAAACATAAGGTCTATTTAAAATATCATAGATCTACCCTATAATCAGATCCCTACCATAGATTTTCATACATTTCTAAATATTATTTACATGTATAAGAGAATTAAAATGATGAAATGTATGTGTTTTTTTAATTAGCAACTTAAATTAGTTATCGTCTAAAACAATTACAATTTAACTTCTTGGAAAATAAAAGATTAATAATTAAAAGAGTCAAAGAACAATATTTATAAATTTTATTAAAATTGAAAAAAAAATTTATTATTTATTATATTGATATTAAAAATAACAGGCTAATATTTCTTTTAATTGTATTGCTAAGGAAAAGTGTTAATTTTACAAAGTGTATATTTATTAAGTGAAATATTAAAAGTTTTAAAAGAGTTTAGAATAAAATTAAATCTTAATAAAAATACTCCTATTATTATCTCTTTTAATTTTCTACAAAATCTTATATATTATACAATGTAATTTTGTTTCCTAATTTAAGGGAATAATTTAAAACGTTAAATAATAATTATTTTATTTTTTTTATTAATCTTTATGAATAAACCTGAAATGGCATTGTTGAATATAGTAAATTGGCGGTCATTCTACATTTTTATATTTTCGCCCTTGCTTTGCTTTTATACATTTTAAAATAAGGTATTTATAATTTTCCTTGATTTGTTATAATTGTTGTACAAACACTTTTTAATACAAATAATTTAATTTTTTATTAATTTATTTATGTAAACATAGACATCCTTTAAATTTGTATTTGTACGTAGTTCCGGTACGCAGTGATCCATAAATCTATGTATCTTTTTGGCTATGTTTTATGTTTTTTTTTTTTTATGTTTTGTTATAATTTTAATAAAATATATTGTAAGTTTTAGATATAGATATGTTGATTTATTATATATATATGAATTACTATAATTATTGTAGGCATATAACAAAAGGAAAATGCGTAATTTATAAAATATCATTACTAATTTAAATTGTATAAAATATATATAAATAATTGTGTATTTAAATAATTTATATTATTTTTAAATTTTATTATTTATATTAAAACAAAATTTTATTTTGTTTGTTTTTACATATTTGATGTTCGAGATTTAATATTAAAAGTACAATAATGTGTATAAATATTTTCATGTTTATTTATAAATAATTTCATTTTAAGCAATAGGATGTTGTTTTTTTCAATGAGAAACACATACTTACATGAAAATGCAACAATTAATTTATGCTAGTTATATCCGCTTATATAAGATTTTTTTTCGAGTATTTGCTACATTTAAAGATTTTCTTGTTTTCTCTAGTTATATAATTTTTAACTTCCGGTTTTTAATTTTTTCCACGATAATATAGTTGAAATATAATTATAGTTGATAGCATAGAAAAGACGAAAACCGAACATGCTTCGAATGTATTTCAAATTACGCAAAATTCTGCTTCATTAATCTTAGGACGCTATTATTCAAGAAATGTTCAAATTTTAAACCTTTAGATTCATTTTGACTCATTCCAGTTCAGAACTATTCCGCTATTTATTTCTAAATAAAAAAAGGTTAATTCATTTAAAAATGAAATAATTTTCTTATTCCCTAAATATTTTATTCAAAGGGCTATAAAACATATTTTAAGGTTTTTTTTTAAAATTTAAAATTTTGACTTTTATTAAAAAATCTTAAATATATAAAATAATTAAGTATATTTAATAGTATTAGTAATTTTTAAAATAGATGTGTAATAATAATTGTTATTTTTACTTAAGTACAAAATTATTACTAAAATTAAATTATGTATAATTATTGAGGAATAGTCAAAAAATATAACACGCGAAAAAAATCTAAAGTAATGAAATAAAAAATATTGAAAAAAAAATATATTTATATTAAAATAAAAATATCTTAAATGCCCACTTTTAAACCCAATATTGATTACGACGTAATAAAGGATTAATGTTTATCTGTGGTGATTGGCAAGTAGGCATAGAAGTGTCACCAATTTCATTATTAGATATACTCCAATCGTCAGAATTCTTATAATATTCGTATTGATCATCATTTATATTATCTTTTTTAAAATCGAATTGATAGTCGCTTTGTTGCTCAGATCCCGAATCAAGTAAATTTTTTCTTTTGTCAATATTTATAATACGACAATTTGGTATATTACTCATTCCAGGTTTTAAGGTTGCTATACTTGGTGAGTATTTTTCGGTATCAGTTGTTGAAAAACTCTTTGTTCGAGATTTTGAAAATTCTGGGGGAATCGGTAATGCTGGTGGATGTTCATCATGGCGGTGATGCAGCATTTTTGTCATTACTTTTTTCTTCTTTAGGTTTTTAATTAAAATTATTAAAAATACAGCAACGATTGTTAATATTAAGAACACAATAATTAATATAATTTTATATTTCCATTTAGCATGATATTCTTCTTCTCGTATAATATCAATACTAACTTTATATTTGGCCGGCTGAGCTGCAGGAACGAGTAGAATGTATTCAAAAAAGTCATGTAATAAATGCTCTTTTAGTGTTTTGTTAAATGCAAAATAAATTATTCCACTTTTAAGTTCGTTTAATGAAAAGGTGTTCACATCTCTTTCTTTATCATGTTGGGTATTTTCGGAACTTCGTATAATTTTTTTTATCGAACCAGTTTTAGGCATAAATGTTATGAAGAATTTTGCATTGATTTTACTTGATACATCATTGGAATGTTCTTTATCTAAATTTAATTTATATATACTTTGTTCTGGTAGAATTTGTAATGATTCTATTTTAGCTAATGGTTCGACTAAGACAGTAGCATTTATAATAACGCCTTGAAGAGAAGAGTCCGTTATATAAGTATTTACCTATTGAAAATATTAAAAAACAGATATATAAACGTTGTTAAAACAAAAGGCAAAAAATATTTAGAGGGCAAGATATTCAATTATCAAAATTCAACTAACCTGAAAAGTATCTAACGATTTATTTATATCCGTTTGCATGTATACAATTTTTTTATTTTCAATATCAGTTTGCGAAAAGTATAGAGTGGGTTGATTATTCAATAATATAATCCCATGCTCAGGAGAATTGGTAACATTATAAAGAAGTCTACTCTTTTTAACATTTGTTTTGAATGAAATATCTGGTATTTCCAAGAATGCTGTAAAAACACCTTGTGGTAGAATAATCCTGTAAGACTCATTTGTTTCCCTAAAGTATATTGGCTCAATGTTAATATTAAAGATTTCAAAGATAGGCAAGAATTTTCCATCTGAAACTTTAAAATAAAAGGATGTCGACTCGGCTGAACCACTATGAGCGTAATGGATACATTCATCATTAATTTCTTCTTGGGTGAAATATTTTATGTGATGCATTGGATGTGTGCTTGTGCTTTTGCAATTTTCCTTAAAAAGGTAACCATACTTAGGACCACTTATTATTTCGTAGATAATTTCTTCAGGTGGTGTGTCACTATCTTCGGTATATAATATTGTTTTAGTGATTGTTGCATTCTCACCCTCGACAAGAGATATTTGGGGATGCTTGGTGATCAAAGTGAAAGGTCTATCATTTACTGGAGCAATTTCCACTGGTATCGTAATGTTACATAACAAAAGATTTCTATTTTTAAAATAGGATAGAAACAAACAAAAAAAACAAATATTAACATTATAGTAGAATATGAATAATATTTTCATAAAAATTAATGTTTTGTAAAATTACCGTTCTTCCAAAAATACTGTCATGTCGATTAAGTCATCGATGGTATCGGAATGATCATGCTCGTAAATTACATTTTTCTTTAAAAAATCGTCAGCATAGAATGTATTGGGATTTCTTTTACTGCTTCCTAAATACTTTACGGTTCCATGTAATGGTTGTGATTTACATTTTGCATATAAAACTGCATTATTTATACCACCTTTGTTTTGTAAGTATTTTGACATGTTTGTAAAGTTCAAATCAATTGCGCTAAATTCACCTTCAGTAACTTTAACTGGAACAATATTTAAAAATTTTAAAAGCCCACCAGCCGACACTGATAACTCTATATCAAATTTTTGATTACTAATTTCTATAAAAGGTTCAATCACCGCACTAAAACTGAATGAATCTTCCGCTTGTAATTCAGAAAGGAAAATTGTATTTTCATAATATATAAAATTGTTATGAATGTCGTCTTGCATAAATTCTGTCACATTTTTCAAAATATTATTTTCAGCGTCAAAGTATATGATATTACCGTATTTCGGATAGGAAGTCAACATGTATGTCACTTCCCGCTCTCCATCTGAACAAATGTAATACAAGTTTTCTTTAGTTATTGCACTTTTAGTATGTGGGAAAATTTGCATTTTTTTATTTATCACCGTAGTAATATAAATTGGCTGGATTGTTGCATTTAGCTCAGTTTTTGTTGTATTAAACGTTCCGTCAGTTAGAATAAATGATATCATAGCATGAGTTGAGATGTTATCGTGAATAAATACAATTTCATTTGAATCGATTTCATATTGAGTGAACGAATGGATCTTTGAAAATTTATCTAATTTATTAATTAAATATCCACCAAGTATATATTCTACTACATATACTAATTCATCAGAAGGGCTATCTTTGTCCTTAGCCACTGAAAATGAAATTAATTGAAAATTTGAGCAAACCATAAAGTTATAATTTTAAATAACTTACAAATATCAGTATTTTTTATGATACATTTTCCACCCTGCCAAACTGCTATTCCATTGTTAATTGCTATATAAGGTCGTTCATCATTTACAGGTGTTATAGTAACATTTAATTGAAAAATGTGACTTTCTTTATTCTTAACAACAGCCATAAAACTTATTGAATCAAAAACTTCATCACCACCATCATGAGCATAAAAAACGCTCAAACTATCCAATTGCTTTTGAGTGAAACGATTGACTTTAAATTTTCCAACTAGTATTGACCCAAATTTTGGTTGCTCAACTATTTTGTATTCTAATATTTTTGATTTGTAGTACTCAGCAATGGGTACAAAATTATTTGGAGTAAGTTCCATAATTTTTCCTAACATTTATTGGTGGTAAACTTAATTATGTTTGAAAATATAAAGCATTTTAAAAGTTTACCTTCAACAACTTCAAGAGGTACAGTTTTCACGTAAAAATGATCGGGAATAATAATTATTTCCATTTGCAAGTCTTTTAACCAAGTGATGCCATTTGTTACATCGAAAACGAAAAAATCTTTTGATTGATTTACTCCTGCCTGAATGTAATACACTTTTTCAGAATTAATTGCAGCTTGATCAAAAACTTTTATGTTATATTCATCTTCTAAAGCCATAGCTTGAACTTCTAAGTAACCGTATAATGGTGACGATTTTATAATGTAAGTGATGTCATTTGGTGAGATATTAGGATGAGTTATCTGAAAATAAATCCAAAATTGTTGAAAGTTTTATATATATATATATATATATCCAAATTTTGTCAAACCTGCAGGTTATCTTTTGTTATAAGTTTGCTGGTTGACTCTTCAACATAAATAGTTTTATTATTTTCAACCTTTAATGGCTCCCAAAAAACTGCTGGAAAAATTTTAATAATAACTTCACCTTCCGCAAAAATATCGCCAACAATTACTTTATATCTTCAAAAATCATGAAATTTATAATAAACTATATTATATCTAATAACGCTTTTAATTACCTAATTTTATCCATTGGAGAAGATTCAGTGTTCCAATAAATTAACTGGTTTTGCTCAAGATCGTGTAATGTAAAATTTTCTGCAGAATGACTTTTATTCATTTTATGTTCCATCAAATTATTTGATTTGTTTTTTAGAAATGTTAGTAAACCATACATTGGGGGACCAATTATATTAAAAATTATTTCTGCTGATTCTACATTAACATTTGTCTCAATGTTAAAATTCAACGTGTTTAATAAAATAAATTTGCCTTCTTGTACAATTGATGCATTATTAGGTAATACCATTACATATGGATCAGAAGCCTTTATATCTAAAGTTCCTGCAACTTCATGAATGCCATCAGTTACTATAAAAGAAGCTGTTCCAATATCAGGTCCAAGATGTTGAAAATAAATTCTCTTCTCATTTATATCTTCCTGACTAAATTTATTAACTTTTTTTCCGTCCATTAGAAATTCTCCGTTAAGGCACGAAACATGAGTAAACATAATGGTTTGAGGACTAGAGTTTGAATCATTGTCAAAATAATTTAAATTTCTTTTTTTTACTAATTTTTGAGTATTCCTGACTACATAAAACGGAATGTTTAGTTCCCTTTGAGGAGAATTATCATTCACCAAATCAATTTTTACATTTATTTTACTGACATATTGAAAATCTTCCTGTATGGGTGACATAATTAGTAATTCAAATTGATCAATCTCGGACTCAGTATCATCATGCTGATAAAGAATACGACTTTCCCCAAGATCGTGCAAAGTAAAATTATTCGTAGGAACTTCTTTTCCTTCAAAATCATCATACCGTAATAACCAACCATGTTTTGGTAGAATGGTTAATGAATAACAAAGCTCATAAAATCTATCAAACGCCAAATCAAAATGATAAGTTTCTATTGGTGCAGCTTCTCCTTCATTGACAGTAAATATCATTTTATTTTGGTAGGTTAACATATTCATATCCTCTTTAAGTGGGTTAAATATTATTTTCAATTTTCCAAAAACTATGTCGCATTCTGATACCATAACTGCAAACTCTAGATAATCAATAAAACTAGAATAAGATTTCCTATGCGTCTGGTATGTTAAAAGTTTTTTATCAATATCTTGTTGCGTGAATGAATCCATTTCCTAAAAAAGTTTAAATCACTATTTTTTTAAATTTCATATCAAAGTGCATACCTTTGCATATTTAGTATTATTAAAATATATTTTTCCATACATGGTTTCTTTTTTTATTTGATATATAATATTTCTTGGAGTAGTTAAAATTGGTGTCGTATCGAAACTTAAAACTTCGTTAGTAATTACCTCATCTCTAGTTCCATTAATGGCTAATTCTTTTCTATCTTTCTGTATTATTCTTAACCGCGTAAATGTAATTCGAAAATCGAATATTTTTGAAGTAATTGATCCACAAGATGCTGTCAACTAGAATAAAAATTGAATTAATTAAAATTAATATAAAAATATAAGCAAAATATTTTAAAAAATTGCACTTTAAATTCATCTTGGAATGGTGAGTCCTTCATGTGGGTGTATCTAATATGATTCATAAATAATTGATTTCTTGTAAAAGAATCAGTTGCTGTCCAAAGTCCATCAACGTTTCGAAACCTTTCAATTAAACCAAATTGAGGGGATTTAACAATACTGTATTTAATTTCCGAATCGCCTTCATCGGAATTTGTTGCAAATGCCAAATTTTGATTGGTTATTATAATTGAGGATTTGTGAACCATAATAATTCCCGTGTTGTTAATTAATTTCAGTTCGAGAGGGTAAACTTGTATTCGGATTGGCACAGGATAACTCGCTTCAATGCCATCGGAAACTTGTAAATTTATTTCGAATATTGTTTCATTTAGATCCAAAGTATTGTAAATGTATTGAACTTTGCCTTCTTGTAATTCTTCAGCTGTAAATATATTTACCGGACGAGCATTAACTAAAAATCTTCCATATTGGCTTATCGATTTTTGATCTTCCAATTCAACAATTGAAAATACTAGTGATTTCGCTGGACTATCTGGATCTTTGACTTTTATAAAATCTGTGTTTAACTGCTTTGGGACATTTTGAACAACGGTTAAAATTCTTTCTTCGATTTGCAATGTTGGACTATCATTCACTGGTACAATATCAAAGTGAATAACAAATCTTAATTTACGTTTAAGATATTTCGATTGAAATTTCTTGTCGTGTAATACTTGTAAATCTATGAAGCAATGATCATTTAATGTTTCAGACCCGTCATGAACATATGCAATTTTATTTGTTTTCAAATCTAATAATGTAAAATTTTTGCTCTCTATTACTTCGCCAATGTTTGGTGAATGTAATCTGATCAACTTTCCGTGTTTCGGTTGATGTACAACACTGAAAACAATATTGGAGCTATTATACAACTGGTTATGCGATTCGAATGATACCCTAATAAATTCATCGCTTAAATAAATTGTTTCGCCTTCTGGGACTTTCATTGGGCTGATTTGAACCAATTCTAGATTATGATCTGGATTAAATAACTAAAATATCAAAGAATGTAAATACAAATATAAAAACAACGAAGGGCAACCCAAAACATTTGTTTACTTACTTTATATGGTAATGCATAATCAGATCTCATGCAGAAAGCTTGATCACAGTTGCATATAAAATCTTCAAAATTATACTGACTACATCTTGAGCTAGGTAAGCAAGGAAAATTTTCAAAGCATGGATAGCTCCATGAACAATTTACTGCCAAACCTAAAATGGAAAATTAATTCAAATTAAATATTTCATTACTTTACATTTATTTATAGATTTTGGTTTTTACCATTCGATACAGTTATATTTGGGAATCCTGTCGGTTCATTATTGAATTTCATATTCTTAACGCAACCATGAAAATGGGGTGCAATTGGTAAAGATTTAACGTGTGGTGAAAATCCAAAATTGAACCCTTCATCTAGATCGATCGTAATTTTGCTCTCATTGAAATAAGATGTTATTCTTTCTATATCATCAACAATTATTTCAGCTGCTGCTGCATTGTACCTAAATAGTATTTTATGCCATTTACCATCTCCAATCATAGTTTCTGATTTCAATTTTAAAATTTCAGAGTCTTTTGATATAATTAAATAAAAATTTTTGTCTTTTATTATTGTCATTATAAAATCTATTTTCCGATTGTACAATAACAATGCTTCTTCCTCAATTGTACGAATTTCAAATTCCCATCTAAAATTTACAATGGATTCATTTTAATACAAATTTTTTTCTTCGTATTTATAAGAAAATAAATGTTAATCAAAAAATAAAAATAAATACAATATTAAAATACAAAAAATATAAAAATTTTTGCTAACATGCATTTACTTACCATATAGATGATAGCTTCTTATCTTGTACGTTTCCTATAAATTGAAATTTAAATTGGTTTTATTTTAGTTAATGTTAGTATACTACATGAAAACAATTAGATAAAATTCATTTCATATAATTCTATAAAATTTTTTGTTTTAATAGAATATGTATGTTTATGTTAAATAATTTATTTATTTTCGGATAGATAGATAATAGTTCGAAGATTTATAAATGCAAAATTGACGGAAATTTTTATAAAACTTCTAAAAACTTGAATTTATAATTTTAATGATGTTTTTGAAAATGAATGTTCAAATGAAAGTTGGTCGGAATATCTCATTAAAGTATTTTTTAAGAAAATATATTGAATTATTGAAAAAAAATTAAGGTAATAATTCGGTTAAAATATTCAACAATAATTATGGTTTAATAAATTATAGCAAGTGCATATTATCTTTTGATAATGTTCTGGACGATCGCAGTAGTGTTGCGATACATATTGTATTTATATATTATATTTTTTTAATTATACAAATTGCGATACATAATGTATTTATATAATTATGTATGTATGTATATGCACAAACGTATTCATATTTTGAAATACTCTGAATAAGATAGATTTTTTAAAAAATTATTTTATAAAATATAATAAGTGCTTTTTTGTTATATTTTTAATTCTGAATTTGAGTGCAATTTGTTATCAAGCAAAAGTTTTAGAAACAAATCATTTAATTGTGGGCAATGCATATAAAAAAATCAAAATACTGCGGGGATACAAGAAAAACCATTTTTTTTTTACTTACGTGTCGCCATTGCTCATGGATATCATTGGAAAAAAAGCAAAGGATTTTTCTTTATTGAAACTAATAACATCTGATACAGAAGCACTGAATTCTTCACTACAATTCCAAGACACACCAACGCTTAAAGCATGTCCAGCTCGCTCTCTTGCCCTTTTCAATATATTTATATTATTGTAAAATACCTAAAAACGTAATTGAAGAAAAAATTAGATAGATACGTTTTAATTTAGAAAACTTAAGCATTATTTATAAAATTATTTCATTGTAATTAATTATAATAAAACACATAATTTAACTTACATCAGACATACAACCTCTGAAAGGCTCTATCTGATCTACATATTCGTCAGTAAAATCTCCAGTACCACCAACAAATGCCCCAAAATGAATAATTAGTTTTGCTCCATTCGCCGCTGGCAAATATCTCTTTTCAAATGTATTATCAACTTGAAAAGTAATATTAGAATCATAGCGTTGAATTGATACATCATGCCAATGGAAGTCGTTTAAAATTAGTTTTTCTTGTGATCTCAACTTAAATAAATATACATATGTATATGTTAGATGAGGAATTGACTAACAAAAATACAAATACAAACCTCTAATTTATTGCGATTAATATAATAGATATAAACTATTCTTCCTTCGTCTAATTTTAAAAGACAATAGTCAGTCCTTCCAGCTGCTAAGAAAAGTAAAGCTCTTTCCTGAAACGTGCGAAATCTCAGTCTTATATTGGTTGATGTTTTAGATTCTTGTAGTGGAATATTAATATGACCGGATCCAAAAAATGAAACTGAAATTTTATAAATTTTTGGTTATAAGAAATGTTGTGCATATTAAGGTTAATAGGAACCGTCCAAAGAGTACATTAAGATTTTGTCCAAAAGTACTCTTTTGTACTTTCGTTTTTATTTATTTCTAAGCCATTCTTAATTTATTTGGTCGTTTAAATATTAATTAATAAATGATAAGGAGCTATGGAATAGGAACATACTTCAAGATTTGCAATATTAAGTTTTATACATTAATTAATTACAAACATTTCTTTGTTTTGTTTTTATTTGAACAATTTATTTATCCGATGCAAAAACAAAACAAATTATAAAAAAAGCAAAAAATATTTTTTCCGGCATAAAATTGACTATAGCAATACTTTTTTAATATTCTCTATATAGATACTGTATGTATATAGGAATATAATATAAACAAAAAACAAAAATAAATATATAAGAATATTAACTCATACATATATGTATGTCATATAATACATATAGCTAACTACATATATAACTTTGAACGTACATGTTTTTTATTTTTAGAAATCCATTGATTCCATGAACTCTGCAAATTATGACATTTATTTTTAAATTGTACCGATGTACCTATTAGATCTCTTTGCAAAGGTAGATAAGTATCTCTTTTTTGTTAATGTACACACTTAACTTATATAGCTATGTAAGTGTTTTACATGTTTTTTCATTAGCCTTTGAATTTAAATATTATATTTATGTACATATGTTTATTTATATTGTATATATCTACATACATTATTTAGCACATTAAAAAACATAGTTTTTAACAAATTATTTGGTTAAAATGCCAAAATATGTGTATATCTACCTCTAAAGTGTAAATTTTGATATATTTTTTTTCCAATAATGTTAAATAATATGATTTTGTTTTTGAAGAACTAAGATTTAATCTTCAAAATATATTATTTACAAAATTATATTAAAATTGGAAAATTTTTATTGATCTTCATTTTGATTGTGGGTAGGGACACAACACATTGTCTGTGCTGAGAAATTATTTTGTTTCTTACCTTTCATCGCCAATATATGAATAGCGAAATTAATTTGTAGAAATATCAACAAAATTAATTTCATTTTAATTTAAGTACTTATTCTACATTTAAAAAAAATTAAACAAATCAAAATAAAAACTCCTTTCATTAAAATTTAATAAATACGAAAGTTAAAAATAACTAAATGTCAAATAAAAAAAAATTAACGGTGTGTTTTTGTACGATCGACAATCAATTTTCAATTTTGACAAGAAATCAAACTGTTTTCAACACGTAGCAAAGATTCATACAATACACGATCATAATAAATCAACAATTTTAAACTATTTCGCATTATTTTTTTGACCATAATCGGAATTTAGCCTCAATGAGTCTCAGAATTTAGTCTCATTGGGTGCGTAGTGCACAGTGCGAAGTTTCTAAAATTTAAAATCCTTTTCCAAAAAAGTTTATACTGCCACATAAGTAAAATGATTTGACTTTAAAAAAAAAACAATCAAAGAAACAGAAAAAAATGTATTTGCAACCAAAATCAAATTGTAAAAATTTCAATATAATATGTATAAGCACTATGCATTATTTATTTCACTACAAAAAAATCTTAGTTTTATAAATGCAAGTAATCAACAAGAAGATAATACAAATTCAATTCCAAATTTTAGTTTGAAATGTTATTATAAACTATTCGCATTAAGAGTAGTCGGATTGAAATAGAATCAGGAGAAATCAGAACTCGAATAAGTCGAATGAAAAGTACAGATAATAACAAATAATAATTTCTAAAGAGCATCTTTAAAACTTCATTTAAAAGATATTAAAATGCAGAATTTAAATGAAAATTTTTACAGTCATATAAACAATATTCACCAATATTTTTTCCTAAACAAGAATTTGCTCGACCCGAACCTATTTGTAGAGATACCTTTTTTGGTTGCCAAAATGTAAAACAAGAGTAGCTTTGGATATTGGAAAATAATTTTGTTCTCCGAAACGATCAGTAAAAAGTACTATACTTTTTCATTTTGGTAGACACGCATATACGGGCTAAACTCTATTACATACAATAATTTAAATATTTTTTTGTGCATAATATGTTTTTATCTATTTTGACATTTTTTTTGACGAATATACCTAAACTAAATATTTAATTTATATTTAACTAAATATTTAATAAAAACGAAAGATCCATATTAAGTGCAAAAATTAACTAATATGTAATTATGCATTTAGTCCCGCATAATACAGCAATTTTATTTATGATCTGTACGGCAATACTTTTTTTGAAAAAATTTTAGTCGCAACTGCGGTAAGAGAAAAAATGAATGAGAAACACTACCGCAATTTGACATTGACATATTCTTTTGTAGATAAATGTTTAGATTTTACATCCTTCACTTTTCTTAGACAAATTTTCGATTGCCGACGTTGGATATTTTTCATTGATGTAAAAAAAGAAAAAGGATGTATAATAGAAATTGTTAAATGATTAATTTGTGACTATTAAACATATTAACTTTGAAGTAGAAAATGCATTTTCGATTGTTAATAAGTATATATATTTTAAGCTTAGTAGCTCAACAAAGTATCCAATTTTATTTGCCAGGATTGGCACCAGTTAATTATTGTAAAAAAGGTGAATTCAGTTCACCTAGTTCTTGTAAAGTAAGTAAAAAGAAAATATTAGATTAAAATATATAAAAATGAAACCAAAATTTTTTGAAATTAGTGAAAATTTCGATATTGTGTCAAATACACATAATGCCATGTAGCCTGCAGATATGTATGTGTACACACGGGAAGTCAAACTACTTATCTGTAAAATTGAAAATAAAAAATTGTTTAATAAGATTAAATTGATAACATTTCATGCAATCGTGTTATAATTTGCAATTTTGTTTAATCGTTAATATTTCTTAAACGCGGAAATGGAGAGTTCCCCTTTTCCTTTTAAACATCCTCTTCTCTCTTCAAGAAATGTGCTTTTAGATAAATATGTACAAGATGAAGATTTGGACTCTCCATATTTTCACTGTATGTATGTAATTTTTAATTTACCAACTATTTCTGATTTATTAAACCAAATATTTCTGATTTGAGTAAAAAATTATCAAAACTTTAATTATTTGTCGAGAATTTTCTTTGTTTTAGCAGCTTATAGAATTCGGTTTTACCTAAGCTATGAAAAAATATGAAAAACTGCTTCGTTTTCTTTAATTTTTTCTACATATGTATTTTAACAAAATAAAATTTTAATTTTAGTCCGATGTTATACTATATGTAAATCGCTTAAACACAGAAGAATCTGTGATACCTTACGAATATCACCATTTTGATTTTTGTGCTATTGATGAGCAAAATTCGCCAGCAGAAAATTTGGGTCAGGTGGTGTTTGGCGAACGTATCCGTCCGGGACCTTACAAAATTGAATTTTTGAAGAATGTTGAATGCCAAAAGGTATCTTTTACAGTAGACAAACAAACGGTAGTTGTATTTTAAAAATGTTATTTTAGGTTTGTACGAAAGAATATATCGGCGGAAATCCAGACTCTGACAGAAGATTAATGGTTCTGAAGAAAGGCATAAGTCTTAACTATCAACATCATTGGATTGTTGATAATATGCCAGTAACATGGTGTTTCCCATCTGATAATGAAAAGCAATATTGTAGTACAGGATTCCCGATGGGCTGTTTAGTGCGTCAATTACCTGATGGCGATGAAAGTTGTGCTATTAATCCAAAATATGATAAACCTGGTGTATATTATCCATTTAATCATGTTGATTTGACAATTACTTATCACAGTGGAAAAGAAGAAGAATGGGGCGTGAAATTTGGTGAAAATGGAGGCAGGATAATTTCGGTTAAAGTTATACCATACTCTATTAATCATAGAGATCCAGATCGTGTAAACTGTTCTTTAAAGTCTGATCCAGTGGAAATACCATCTAGTGCTTTAGGAGCTGGTCAAAGATTATTTATAACGTATTCTTATTCAGTGAAATTTGTTGAAAATAATTTGGTGAAATGGTCTTCTCGATGGGACTATATATTGGAATCAATGCCGCATACAAATATTCAGTGGTTTAGTATTTTAAATTCCTTAGTAATTGTATTGTTCTTATCAGGAATGGTTGCTATGATTATGCTTAGAACTTTGCATAAGGATATTGCGCGTTATAATCAAATGGAATGTGGAGAAGATGTGCAAGAAGAATTTGGATGGAAACTAGTTCATGGAGATGTTTTCAGACCTCCAAGAAAAGGAATGATTTTAGCTGTATTTTTAGGTTCCGGGGTTCAAGTTTTCTGTATGACTTTGATTACTTTGGCATTTGCTTGTCTTGGATTTCTGTCACCAGCAAATAGAGGAGCACTTATGACTTGTTCAATGGTTTTATATGTTTCCTTAGGCACACCTGCTGGATATGTATCTTCACGAATATATAAGAGTTTTGGTGGGATCAAATGGAAAAGCAACGTAATTTTAACATCTATGTTGTGTCCAGGGTAAAAAGCATTTAATTTTTTAATATTGTACATAATGGTTAAAAGTATTAAAATCTTTTAGGGTGGTGTTCAGTCTGTTCTTTATTATGAACCTTGTTCTTTGGGGCAAAGGAAGTTCTGGAGCTGTCCCATTTAGTACATTAATTGCACTTTTAGCTTTGTGGTTTGGCGTATCTGTCCCTCTTACATTTATTGGGGCTTATTTTGGCTTTAGAAAAAGGGTAAGCGCTTTAAAGAATTTAATCTACAAAGGTATGCATTTTGCATTTTAACCTTTCATTCTAGCCTTTTGAACATCCTGTTAGAACGAATCAGATACCACGTCAGATACCTGATCAGTCAATATATACCAAAGCAATACCCGGTGTAATAATGGGTGGTGTATTACCTTTTGGTTGTATTTTTATTCAATTATTTTTCATTTTAAATTCAATTTGGTCTAGTCAAATGTATTACATGTTTGGATTCCTATTTTTGGTTTTTCTAATACTTGTAATTACATGTTCTGAGACAACTATTTTACTTTGCTATTTTCACTTGTGTGCAGAGGATTATCACTGGTGGTGGCGATCATTCTTAACGTCAGGTTTTACATCAGTTTATTTATTTATGTATTGCTGTCACTATTTTGCTACAAAATTGTCTATAAAAGATGCTGCATCTGTATTTCTGTATTTCGGCTACACATCAATTATGGTATTTTTATTCTTTTTGTTGACTGGGACAATTGGATTCTTCGCATGCTTTTGGTTTATCCGAAAAATTTATAGCGTTGTCAAAGTTGATTAAAGAAAATAAGAAGTATAATTTAATTTACATGAAAAATTAACTTATGTTTGATTGAATCACAAACAAAATAATTTCTACTATTAATAATCAATTTATTTTGTTTATAAAAAATTAGCTATAAGAAATTGCGATAAATTAGTGAGTAATAAATTTAACAGGAAAAACTAAAAAGTTTGGTTTTCTTAAATTTCAAAATTAATCAAACTAAATTGGAGAAATCATGAAGAAAAATACATACAAGTTTTGTTTAATTATGCTTGTTGAATCAAAGCACTCTAGTAATAAAATGAAGATTTATTAAGAATATAATTTAAATTAAACACAATTTGAAAATTTCTGTACTGTACGATTTTGAAAAGAAAACAAAAGTTTGTGAAAAGTTTTGTGTTGATAAGTAAGCCTTTTCTCCAAAGACTATCTATTTTTTCTTTGTTCTGATCTTCTACCATCTCTGTGTGAATAATTCCTTTGTCTGTCGTCGCGATTTGGTTTTTGGTATGGCTTCTCTCTCCTGTCAAAACGAGAATCATTTCGAGAGTGGTGTTTGAAATCATTCCGAAAATTTTCAACATGTTTACTCCCAGTAGCTTTAAAGGGATTTTCAAAAGATTCGTTAACTCCTTGAACTAGTTCGGGAGCAAACCTTTTGAGGTGCTCTATATCAAAAGTTCTTATTTGCTTGAGATCTTTATTTTTGTCATTTAAATTTGGCGCAATTTCTGGTGCCTTGTCTTTAAAGCCATATCGTAAGGAAGAGTTTTCCGTATGTTTTCTATCGTAATTTTTGGAGTCACGTGAATTATTACTTTCTTTTACATCACGACCTTTGATTACAAGCCTTTGACCAAATAATTTAATTCCGTCATATAAACGAAGCGCGTAGGGTATCGCACAAGAATATTTATAAGTAACAAAACCAAATGTTTTTTGGCGTTGCGTTTCCTTGTCTTTAGGTATTCTAACACTCTCGATAGGTCCAGCCTTAAAAATAAAATGAAATTAGAGCAATTTGAAGACTTTATAATTCAATTTACTTGTAAAAACAATTCAAATAAAATTTCTTCTGTAGTTTTTGTATCTAAATGCGCTATGAATAAAGTTCTTTTATCTTCATCATCTTCACTTTCAGAAGATGAAGCTGAAGATTTTTGTCTTTTTCTCGATCCCATTTTTTTGTAATTATAATTTATATTTTATAATTTTTTTTCTAAATTAAAATATCACCTATTTGCAAACAAATATTTAGTGTAGCAGCAAGTATGACATTTTGGTTGCTTTGCTTGTTTTTTTTTTTGTTAGAAATTTTGGATTAATTCAGTGGCTCTAAACATTTCTTTACCAATGAGCATATAAGATTTCAGATAATAAGTTGCAATGAGATTTTCTGTGCACATATCTGACTGTTTGAAACATGACATAAGAAAAATATTAACAGTTGCATTTTGCGGGCGGAAGTTTTTAAAATTTCTTTTCAAACAAAATAAATTTAAAAGAAAAATTGAGCTAATAAGTAGACAAAAAGAGAGATACTGCAATTTTTGATAGTTGATAGTATGTGTCTTTACCTTTGATATATTTTTGATAGGTAGTTTTTAATAAATTGATAATTGAAATTGTTTTCGAAGCGCCACAAATTAGACATAAAATGCGTTTATTTAATTAAAATTTGATATTTGCTAGAAAATTTCACATTCATTAGAACAATCCATTGATAGAAAATAATGGATATTAGAGATAGTTGTAGCTGAGTGGCAGTTGAACAGTATTCAATGGTTAAACGAACCTATTTATGATGAAAGAAAAATAGTTGAAAAATGATAACTGATTTTTTTAATAATTTCAAATTTTAATATTTTAAACTAAAAAGGATTTTCTCAAAGGGAAAAAATCAGTATTTTACGTACATAAAGAAGTACAGCAGTGATTGAAAATTATTATTTGTTTTTGATCGATCTAAACATTTTGATTGTGTTCTGAATAAAAATAAATCACTGAATAGCGCTACTGGATCAAACTAATGTCAATCAATCAATAACGAAATAACTGTTATGGCTTAAATTTTTTTTATGAGTAAATGGAATTTTAATTTTTGCAAGTGTTTTGTAAATTAAACAAAAAGTTAAACAATTACATATATTATTTTTATATTTAAAAAATTTTTTTAAGTTTTAACAATACAATAAAATGTACTTATGTATATTAGTTTGTAAGTATTACAATATAATATGTCTTTATTAATTAAATTCTTGAATAAAATTTATAAACATAGAAAAGTAGTATAGATAATATTGCTTTTTTTAATGGTTTATAATGGTTTGATACTTTTTAGTGATTTTTCAATATTTCTATACATTCTGGGAGGGATATAATCCAATATTGATCGGTTGTATAAAGGATGATCTGATAATGTTTTTAATAAAGTTTTAGCATAGCCACGTGTTTCCAAACTACCTTCCATAAGTAAAGTACAGGCAGTAACAAAAATTTTTTCTTTTTGATCTCGAGGCATTTGATATACCTTATCACATCCTACACGGTCAACTAAATGATTTAATAATTTAGCTGTTGCAGTTTTAACAATAGCGTTTTGATGTGTTACGCCTCTTAATGTCAAAAGATTTAAAACCTTTGGAGGTGTTAAATTATCACACATTGATTCTAAAGCACGACCTGCATCTGCTCTTAAAAATCTGTTAGTATCTGCAGTTCTATGTAAAAGATTTCCAACTAAATCGTCACATTCCTGTTCTATAAATTTATTACGAACAGTAAAATATTCAGTGGAAGCTTGACATGCCGCTCTGCTTACTTGAGAACGCAAATTTTTAACTGATTTTGCTAAATGCATACAAACTAAATGACAATGCGGCTCTAAAATATGTGGATGATGTCTTATCAATCTTACAATATCTACCAATCCATCCATTACAATTTCCCAATTTGGTGATTCTAATTGATGAAATGTTAGACTTAAAGCTTCTTTTGGTTTATCAAATTTACTGAGAGTTTGCGGGTACACATCCATTCTTGTAAGTTTTAGAGAATGTTTAACGGGAGAAACACGCCTATTCTTTCGACTGAAAATAGTAGTTTTAGATTTTCGCATCATTGTTTTAACTGGTGAGAAATTTTGTTGATGATTTAAAAGAAAATCAGCACTTGCTGTGCTCTGTTGATAATCTGAACTTGTTTCAGTACTTGTACTACTTCTTATATCAATTTCCGTATCTTTTTGCTCTGATTCTGTATGACTGTAAGTTGGTGATTTTGGTCTAATGTTAGAAGGAGATTTTGAAGATTTTGGAGTTAAAGGGGGAATGCTGGCCGGTTCAGTTTTTACTTCAATATCATTCATTGAAAACTTTTCGGGATCATTTTCGGATTGTAATTCAACCTCTTTCATTTCTATCTCTACCACTGTATGAGTATGAACATCATCTTCTTTTAAATTCGTCATTATTACAGTTTCTATAGAAAATTGTTCAGTTTCGGTTCGTGATTCTGTTCCAATACTTTTTGCATCAAATGAGTTCTCTTCGGATTTTAAATCTTTTAAAGGCGTAATACTTCTATCGAAATTTTCAATGTTCTCAAAAATTTCAAAATCACCATTTGGGCCATCAGTATTATCAATTTCGATATCACTTTCAATTTTATTAATAGATTCCATCGAATCTACTTTATTAATTTTTTCTTCTACAACAACTGATTTAAAAGTTTTATTTGAATATGATGACTGAGGTCTCGATTGAACTTTACTCTTTGCTGAATTACTTTTGTTATTTTCACTTTGTTGCATTGTATCATTTTTATGAACATTTTCAGTTATTCTATATGGTGATTCTTTTACGCTTAAAGGAGTTATTCGATCAGTTAGGATTCTTGTTGGGGTGGAATGCCCTGAACTGTTTAATCTATCATCTGATGAAAGTTCACTGGATTCTTCGGTGTATTCTTCGTTTTCAAAATTAAGAATTTGTAAATTATCTTGTGATACCGCTGCTATAGGTATTTCGTGACTAATTGTACTTATTGATGGTGATTTTTTTGTTGCTGTTGGGGTTAAAGTTGCTGGATTTAATTTTTGAATAGAATTTTTTGGAGATTTTTGTGTTTCAATTATATTGTGATTTTCATGATTTGTATTTAAATCATCGATTGCTGCTGTATTTTTGTAAACATTATTTGAAATTATAAATGGTTGTTGAGGTGGTTTATTGCTGAAATGAAATAAAATAAATTAAAATTTTAAATTCGAAAATATTAAGATTTTGGTTTTCCAACAAAGCAAGTTTAATTTGAGCATACAATATCTTTATTAAATTAATGAATCGCTTATAAATGTAATAAGTAGTTAAAAAAATATGAATATAAAATATTCATATTTTTAGTTTAATGGTCACTTGTTACAAATAACATACAATATATGTACATACATATGTATATAGAAAAGTGATTAAGTCAAAAAATTGAAAAATAATTTTGATGTTATAATTTTCATTATAACGCTTTTTGTGTCCAAAAATTTATTTTCAGGATTTAATCAATCAGAGTTTTTGACATCACAATACTCATCGAAGGATAAAATTTAGAAAACCTACTTATATACATGTACATTTTATGATATTAGGAGCAGGAGATAGCTTACTTTTTGTATGGAAAACGCAATTTTAATTAATTCACGGAATTTTTTATATACGATATAAAGGATTCAATTGTGATAGTATGGTGTATAATTCAAAAACGTGTAATACAAAGTGTATAGGTAAGTATTAATTGTTTACATATATATAAAGAAATTTTACCTTTTTATCTATATTAAAAAAATAAAATAACAAGGTCATTATTATTAATGTGTTGTACACGTAAAGAAATTTTAGCAAAAAATATTCTTAATTCTACATAAACTTATATATTTGCGTACAAGTTTATTTTTAGATCGATACAAGAACGCACCATAGGCTACCTATTAATCTTATAAATGTTGGACAAAGGACGAAAAATTATTCCACATCATTTTAACGTGTATAATAATTTTAATCTATACCACTTTTTGTTATTATACAATTTAATTTATATTTTAGTAACATTTTTTAATAGTTGCATAGTTTAATTATTATAGTTATTTATTAGTATAGTGTATAAGTTTTCTAAGAAAAAAATTCAGTATATTATAAAGGAAAATTTTTAGTGAATAATGAGAAAAAAAAAAACAATCATCCAAAAACAAATTAAGTAGATGGAACGAGAATATTTAGATTTTTTTTTTGTTTCATATATTTTATTGTTATGCTAATGGTAATCGTAATAGAGGCCAAGAACGCAAATAGATTTTATCATTATATAAAATTAAAATTGAGTTTTTATAGCAAGAAATAATATAATTTATAAGAATGACTTAATGATATTTTTCTATGAAAATGATTAAATTTTGTATTTTTGTAGAGGTTCAAATTTAGTTGGTATGAAATTTTTAATTGTATATGTATGATATTTTATTTTTTGTTTTAAAGTGTAATTCAAAGTTTTGAGTTCGGAATATATTAATTTTGGGATTTGTCATGTAATTTCAGTTAATTCCACACGTTATTTTCACACTTCTTTCAACGTTACTTTATCATTTATTAATTTAATTGCTTACTGTTAAGTATTAATGTTATATTCTATAAGTTTTTCATTATATTGATTTGTTATTTTTAAAAAATGGGTATTTTACTCTATAAGTGATTCTTGAATTAACCCTACAGGGTTATGTTTCTACAATATTGTATACATTTTATTATTATGTATACAATATTGTAAATTTGACGTGAAATGTGATTAAAGGAGTTTGTCGAGTTATATTTGAACTTTATAAATTGAATTTTATATTCCGATTTAAACTTAAGATTTTCAAATTAAAAAATTATACCTAATATATAAATATGTGATAGGTTTTGCTTAAAACGTTCCTAGTTTCAAATATGTATTAGATAATTTTTGCTTAAAATATTTAAGCGATTTAATAAACAAGATATATTTAAATTATGGTTCTTCAACAGTATTGTAAATAAATAATTATTAAGTAAAATTACATAAGAACTTATTTAAAACAAGTAATGTACTGAATGGATAAATATTTCAATTAAGTCTATTATCTAAATGTTTTGTTAAATGCAATAGTTGAAAACCTGTAGTTTTTATATAAAAATTTGAAATTTTTGATATAAAACTCTTATTGAAATTTATTTTTCTGAAAAGGTGTATTCTACACCAATACATAGTTAATAGATATATCATGATATTTTTTCTTTCGTTTATTTAATAATTTACTTACATAATATTATGTATAAAAAAAATAACTTTATATACTAGTAAAAAAATTAAACGAGTATAGATTGTATTTAAAAAACTGACATGGAATAAATATTTTGAAAAACATTTAATTTTCAGATTTCTACTTTAAGATACAAAATTAAAAAAGAATTAAAAAATTTATGTAGTAGAATTCGTTATTTTCTAATTTAAAATTCGAATTTCCCAAAAATATTGTACTTAAGATACACAATGTGCAGCATTATGTTTATTAAAAAACCTAAAAAAAATTGCTTGCCATGCTGATAAAAGCATCAAAACTTGGCAGGCCATAAAGTAAACAGGATGTCTAAAGGAAATGTATAAGAAAGATTACATTATGTAAATTAATTAAAACTTTAAATGTTAATTTAAAAGTTAAAATAATTTAAAAGTTTTTTACAATTTATATCAAAATTTTTGAGCCGTCTTACTCAAAATTGTTATTTATTGTTATAACACAGGACTGTTTTATTACTTATTTTAAAAATATGTATAAAATATTTTAGATCTTTTCGGAAATGCAATGAATTCTGTTGTTGAAAAAATTTATTAGACCTAAGTAGGAATTTAGCTGACCTTTTGCTGTAGTTCACGTTAAACATAATTTTGAATTGGCATACGCACTTGAGACAAAATCATTTGTTAGTGTTAATTACAATTATACATCATTAGTCTCGAAACAATAGCTTAAATTTAGTAAAATTTTGTATATGTATGTATATAAGTATCTTCTGTAACTAGCCAGTAATGTAATTTAATAAATTTTTATTTGAAAAATAGCAGATTAAAATGTATTATGTACTTATTACAAAATATGAAATATTATTGAAATGTTTATAAAATTGAAATTTTACTATATATATATACAATCATAGATAAAAAAAAAACTAATTTTAAATGGACAATTATTTCTATGTAACACAAAAAATTATGATAAAAATCATTTGTTTACTTTATGTACATAAATATATATTTTTAATACGTCTAGAATCTATCACGAAATTTTTGTGTAATATAGGCATACCATGTAAAATTGTTTACTCTTTTTCAAAAAAAAAAAAAAGAAAAATATCAATAAACAATTTTTTTTTATTATTTTATTTTTATTAATTTGAACTGGAAGTGAGTTTAAATTAACCCAATTTTTTAATAATAATGTGTACAAATATATACATATATATATATATATATATATATATATATATATATTTTATACGGCACCTATATATTATTATATCGTTATGTATTTAATATTTATTTGAACTTTTATTAATGTCGCCTATAATTATACAATTATATTATATATTATTATATTTTTTGTTTAAGCTATATATTGGAAGGGAAATCTATACGTGGGTGAAAATGTTATTGAAAATGGAAAAATGGAAATTTTTTTTGGATAACATTTTTTAATTAAAAGAAAATTGTTATTGAATTATTACCAAATTTAATATTAAAACTATACATTTAAGTTTATTGTTCTTTAAAAATTAAGCTTGATTTTACATTTTTAATTTTAATTGGAATTAATGCAATACTCTTGTTTATTTATGTATAACATGTATATGGATTTAAAACATGATATATAAAACCATTATCATGTTTTTATTTTTATATTATTAATCTGATAATTTATTAATTAAAAATTTTAATTAGTCATGCACATATACCATAATGCGATGTGTCTGAGTCAAAAAATTTGCCAGAAAAAGAAAAAAAAAAATTTCTTTTTATAACTCACATTATTTCTTCAGAATTTCCAAGAAGTATTAAGGGTGTTCCATTATTATTTGTTTTTAAATCATCATTATTTACTAAATCATCTTTTTCAGCCTTTGTACAATTTAACTTTTGACAACATTTTATATTATTATAACAATATTCAAATACATTTGGTATTCTTTCAAATTGTGTTATCGCTTTATCGACAGCATATTCTTGCGCCTTTTTTATATTTTCACCAGCACCTCTTAAATAATTATTTGTTCGATTGCAAAAACTTTTCATAATTTCTATTTTTTTTTGTATTTTGTATTATGGTCATAAAATTCTTTGTATTTTTTAATTAATTAATTACAAAAATTTAATTAAAACAAAAATTATGCTTTTTGTATGTATAAAATAAAAGGACTAAACAAACTATGAGTAAATGCAATTTCTTTAATCTTAACAAAAACGAAAGAAAAATTCTTTTAAATCACGATAGTACATGCGATTTTTATAATATTTGTAAAGCAAATGTCGCCTATGCAACATCATAATGGACTGACCACAACAAACTAATTTTGGATTAGTTAACATTTTATTTTATTTGAAAATTTATAAAGGATAATGTTTTCTTTTCATATTTTGAATCGCAAAAATAATAAAAATGAAAAGAAAAAAAATTATTGACCATTTCGTTGGCGCATATTCGTTAATCGTTTTTGTTTTTTTTTTTATTATTATTTTTAATTTTTACTATTATTTTATTTTGTTCTTTTTTACTTGAATGGCCCTTAGACCTATAAGAATTATATAAATAAATAAGGAGTCATATATACAATGTATATGTATGTGCAATAAGGAGTCCGTGAGGTGAAAATACTCACCTGTTTTAAATAGTACATTATAATATTTATAACCGATTATATTATAAGTCAAAGTATTTAAGTTTCTATATTAGATTAACGCGGGAAGATTGAAAAGTATTTGTTTTTTTAGTAAAAATAAAAGTATGAGAATGCAATTATTTACAATTTTTTTTTTTGTAATTTATAAATTAGTCAAGTACGTGATGTGCATGTTTAATATAATAAAATTTATTGTTAAATTTAATAAAAATTGTAAATTTTATTAATCAGTGTAAATTTTGTAAAGTATCAAATTTCATATAACTATGTACTTAGTTTTTTTGTTCTTGAGATATTGTTTATTATTTAATATTATTTAAATTTTAATTTTTATTTTATAATAAAGCTTTAACAATTCTTATGATGTGGGGGAATTTACAGGATTTTTTTACAATTTTCTTTTAAACAATGTAAAAATTTTATTTGGCATTCATTTTATTAATTTTTTTTTACTTTATTTATGTTGTTGTTACCCATATAAGTATAGGCGCTTTCGTAAACACAATATTTCGCGTTATATAGCCTTTATTAATGTTGATAAATAAATGTATCAAGCCAATTTAACTCATTTATAACTTATTAACTTAGTGAAATTGTTATTAAATAATACAGTCAAATCAGATGAATTGCTTTGCTTTTAATAAAATTGCCATAAATCTATTAATTACATATCAATCACGTTACTGTTTTGCAATATTGCCTTTCTGAAAATCGCTTATTTTATAAATATTAAAACTTTTAAGCCAACCGTAGTAAAAAATTTTATTGCATGCTATTAGCTTTATCATTCCAAATTTTTTTTTTTAGTTATAACAATTATGGTTGTTGTATTAACTAAAACTATATTTGTCATAATTGTAAAGTAAATTTATTCAATTTTTAGTACTTAAAGTTTGAGAAAGAATTTGGTCATGAATTAAAAATAAACAGTTTTGAAGAGTAAGAATAAAAAAATAAGTAAATAAAAAATTTAAGATTTTTAAGACAGCGGTAAAAATTTTTAAACTCAGAAAAAAATTAACTTTTATTTACAGTGTAACTTTTAATTAAATTTTATTTTTATAAATTAATCAAAATAAAATTTAACATTCTATCACTTCTATTTATAACGGCCATTAAGAAAACCTCTATTCAAAACAAAATATTTTTTTTTAGAGTTTTTCAAAAAATAAACGTTATAAATGAAAGCGATAGCATGACATAGAGAAAAATAATGTAAATAAGTTTATTTTCCAAATTGAAAAAGAACTTCTTTGTTCTTTGGTACATTAGTTCATTTATTTGTACTTTAGTATTACCTAAAAAAAATTTAATAATTAGACGTAAAACACGTAAAACGGTGAATAAACTATTTCGAAATTTCGAAATTGATTATTAACATTTCATATCGATTGAATACAGTTTTACAATTTTAAGTAACAATTACTTTGTATTATATGGTATATGTCTATTTATTAATAATTTTAAGAGTTCAACATTGAATTAATTTTAATAAATTGTTAATTCATTAGATTACTGAAAAATATCTATTTGTTATTTGTTTATTAATTAGAATTGATAAAATTTATAATTACTTTTCATGTCAATGTACTTTTTCATAAAAATAAAATGGAACCTTCGTTACAGGTTATCGTTAGAAAAACAACGACAATTGGTTCAATAACTTTAACTTAGATGGCAAATATAATTATATGCAAATATAAAAATTTTTATTGCTTAATGTTTTAATAAATTTTGTTAAATTTTGGTTGAGTCTATTAAATTTTATAGAGTTCATATAATATATGATATTATTATGAACTCTGTAAATGTTCTATGAGCTTCATAATAATATCAATAGCATTTAATATTAAATTTATTAAATTTAATTTAAAAATCGTCCTAAATCTTATTTATTAATGTGATTAATTTACATACATAATTATGAAAATTATGTATGAATTCTACACCATAGCATATGTAGATTTAAAAAAGGTTCTTCTGAAAACGCAGTATGCGTACGCATTTCTAACTTAAAACTAAAAAAACTTTTTCGCATTGATTGACAACTGCAAAAAATTGTCATTTGTTTTGTCGTAGTAAAAAAGTTCTTGCAAATCTTTATCTAAGTCATATTTGAAAATGCAGTTCTACCAATAGTACAAAATTGAAGTTGTTATTTTTTAGACATAAAAAATGGATTTAAGGAAAAAATTAATTAAAAATTATAAATTCGAATATCTTACAGAAGCAAATCGAGATAAGAGTTTAAACTTACGCTAATAAATCTTCTATATCATCATCGTCCATCTTGCTTAATATTCAATTTAAGTTAGCGCAGTTAGAAAATTAAAAATGCGATGTTGCGTGAAGTTTCTGAAATATCTTAATTGCAGTTGTAGTTTTCAAAATGGCTGCTACTGCAGTTCTGAATTTTTAAAAACACTGCTTTGTAGTTGAAGCAGTTCTTATTAAACAAATGTGCTGCAATTTAGTACTAAGTTAGAACTGCATTTTCAGAAAGACCTAAAATTTCAATTATCACTAGCTTTATTCAAAAATTTAAATTAATTTATGAATCAATTTTCTCATCCCTATATATTGTGTAAGTTCTGCGCCTTTAAAACAGATGACGCTAGTATATATTTATTCCTTTTTATATCGATTTTAAAATAAACCTTATATAACAGAATATTTTATTCTTTTCTTTTTTTTTTAAATTATAATAAAAATAGAGTTTGAGACTTATTAGGCTAAGATTGTGATTACATACCAAGGACATAAAATTTTTCATAGACATTGTCGAATTTAATGTTGATTCGGGTCGAAAAGGAAAAAATTTAAATTTACATAAGACAAAAATTTTACAACTTTCGAAAAAAAGAATTTGTAATTTAACTTAATGAAGAGAAATTAAAGGGGCTTAAGAATATTAGTCGAGGAAAATATACTGACTTTAAAAATCATATATAGGACTACATAAAAATCGAATTATGTATAAATTCTAAAAAATGAAAAATTAGGACTTTCCAGTTATAAGAATTAAAAAGGACATAAATTATTATTAGTTTTTATTGTTTGAGTGAATACCTATATGACATATACATACATATATAAATACATTTGATACGTAATATACATACATATATTTATGTTTAGAAACCCAGTCTACCGGTCACCGAACTAAAGTATGTACGCGTGTAAATTCTATTATTATTGTTATGTGTAGTAATACATGCGTGCACATACATATATAATAATATATTTTAATATAAAAAAATAGGTTAAATGTGTTTGTATGTGTGCAGGAAAAAGTAGGTTAAGTTTCAATGTTTTATGATATTTCCGGTCTTATTTTCTTTTTTTATTTTATGAGAAGAAACCATGCTAAGATGTCTCGTAAGTTTAATATTATATTTTGACTTCAAAATATACAGTGGTATACATAAGTAATTAACAGATTTCCGAAAAAAAAAGGTTTTCGTTTACAATTTTTTAAAAATAAAAATAAATGATTGTGATTCAGGAATTTATGTAGGTCATAATATTTCGTAAACAAATATGTAAATCTGAATATATAAAATTAATCTTTTACTCTTAACCCTTTTACTTGATAATTTTTGAGATTTTTATTATATTTTGGTGTACTAAGTAGTTTATTAAATTTTAAAACAAATGTTACAAAATTTGTCGGAATAAAAATTGGAATATGGGGAAATGTCGGAATATGGAAAAACCACAAAGGACATTTTTTTTTACCTTTATGATAATGTTACATTCATGGAAAAAAGCGTTAGGGGTGCAACCATGCTCTAAGTAATTAAATTAATAATTTCATTATTGCACGAACCTCAAACATGGTTAATTTTTAGATTGATGGTGGGTATGTAAAAAAAAAATAATTCAATAATTTTTTGTATTTTCATAGATACAAGTGTATTAACTACTATACTAGAACTCGCCATTTACTGCGTTTAATTTAAGTAATATGTATAACAGTTTCGACTACTCTAGAATAATTGGGAGTAATTTATAAGTGCATTGCAAATCGTATGGACATTCTGTTTTACAGGAGTTAATTACTCTTTTAACCTGCAACTTTAAATTGGCCAGAAAAAAATAAAAAATAAACTTGGATTAAAGCAATGATTTGTAAAATTACACATTTTCCTTCAACTGAAAAGGCTTCTAAAATAAATTCGAATCAAATTAAATATTTGTGAAATAGCCTTTGAATAAGTGGAAATATTTTTTTTTTTTGAAAAACTACTTAAATTAATTCTATTCTATCATTATTACAAAATTATTTTATTATCAGTCAAAAATTATTGCATACTTTTCGGGGAAAAAGCTATGCTTCTTTTGTTATATGAGAGATTTACAGTTAGTCAATCATAATAAAGATACTATCAACAATAACAAAGCCATCAGAATTTTATACCTATATTGCGTTATTGTGTATTTCAAGGGTGATTTTTTGAGTGTGCATTTAAAGAAAATTGTTTGTATCATGCAACATAAATAATCACTAAATGCTATATGTACCTATGATTGCTAAACATTTAGCAAAAGATGATATTTTGCACTATATTATAATTTGAACTTTATGAATTGATCCTTTAGTATCGATGATGGAAGTGATTACATGATTCTGATTTCTTCTGCAATTCAGCTCTCAATAGTTGGTAAAGATAACTAAAATATAATCATTCAACTACCATGAATATAAGATTTTCATATATTAATTGAAAATGTATTTGTTATTGGGGGATAGAACAATTTTTCGGTGTAAACGATTTTAAAAATTAAAAATCGATAGATCAAGATAATCATAATCAAATTTTATAGTTAGAAAATATTATCCTAACACAGTTAACGTTTAACCATATTTATTGATTGCATTCATTTACGGTTTTTATGTGAAAAGAAATAAATTTCCTTGCCATTTCCAAAGAAAATTGAATATAATAATTAAAAAGAGTTACAATGAGACGACTCACATTTGCAATATTTCTTGCAAACTAATAAATAATTGGTTTGCCAGCCCGAGTGATTGGCGATGGTAACAGACATGCAAAAAGTAAAATAAATGTAATAAACGAAGTAATATATTTTTCCAAGAGCCTAATGCAAATTTTTTGAATTTGCAAAAAATTTTTTAAAATTCCGTAAAAATTTTTTTTATTCAAATTTCTCTATAGCTTATGTTATTCATTACTCGATTTTTTCTGGTACAGCCCGGATCCCGAACTTTAAATTTTATAGACTACATTTTGAAGCGTGACCAAATGCACAATTGTTTCTGTTTCCAAAATCTACAAAAATTTAAAATAATTTTTTTGACCTATAGAATTGTTTCTGTGCCATTTAAATAACAGCGTCTTTGGCTCACTCAATAAGAAAATTCACAATTCAAATTAATTCGACCAAAGTGTTCGATAAAAGTGTTAAGGATTAACTTCTAGATTCAACGTGTAACGTTAAGCTGCTGGACTCTACGTTACACATTTCAATTCAACCTAAAATGAAATTTGAGGATTTTTTCTGAGATTTCTTCAAAATTTTTAAAGGTTCCCAGAATTTCGAATTTAAGAAAATATTGATTGAATGACTACGTTAATATTAAAAGAAAATGGCAAATAGAAGTAAGAACTTTTGTCAAACATTTTAAGATTTGTAATAAGATTTGATTAAAAAATATGTATGCGTCAATAACTTAAAAGCAGAGAAGAGTTATTTTGTAAAACAATTTAGATCTTAAAAATAAATAAATATCTATTCATAAATTCTTTATAACAATGAGAAAACAATTAAAATAACATGAACATGGGGAAACAGTGGGAAACAGTTATAGATTGCGAAAGAATTCTTGTGATTTTTTAATACAAACCTTGAATTAAGTTTCTCAAAACTAGCAAATCTTCTTGGTACTTGAGATCGTTTTCCAAAATTCGATGAATATGTTGATTCATATGAGTTATCAGTCATTGTGTTAACTAAAAATTAATTAAAATTTATATAATATACAGTTAGAATAACAAATTAAATTAATTTTTAAAATTAAATACCTGATGGTTGACTTTGATTATTGATTTTATTTAATTTTCTCGGAATAAATTTTGATTTTTTATTATAAAATGAAACATGATTATTTACATCATATTGTTTATTATAAAATTGATCATCTTTTGATATACCAATTGCATCTTGTTTTTCCATTGAAGGAAATCTACAAAAGAAGAAATTTAATTAATGTAGGTATTCTGATATTTTGGTAAATATTTTTAAAATTAATGTTAAAATTAATTCTTTACCTTGATTGCATTGAATTTTTGAAACCGCTTTCATAAGCATAAAATGTACTATCAGAACTTCTATCGTCTTGTGATGAATCCGAAAAAGATTGAACAAAGACATTTCTTCTAGGGTTGTTTCCGATTGCTTCATCTTAAAATAATGAAAAATTTTAGGATAATGATGTTATAAAATATATTGTTATTAAAACTGTTGGGGTAAATTAATTTAATTTGAGAAAGGAAATGTACATGCATTTTCAAAAAATGAATTTATACAGCACGTTGACTATACTTAGGAAAATCTGTTTAAGAAGCTTATTTATGTATGTATTTAAATATACTATTATAATGTAAAATACATAAGAGTAGCACTGTTGCGACTTGCCGCTACGTTGGCAGTAATTTTAAATCTTATGTTTTAGCTTAATTTACTTTAATATAATATATTAACATGTTTTTTTTTTTCTTTTTACTAGATATCGATTGAAACTGGAGCTTATATTAAAGAACTGCTTTAAATTTTTAAAAGTATAATTATTTGTGATAAAGTGAGGACCAGGAAACATGAAAATCACTAAGGTAATTTAATAATTTATTTTTAAATTTAAATTAAAGTGATACAACAATTTTTTACTCTTTCGTATATATACACAAAAATGGGCTTACGAGTACTAGTATTAATGTAAATATAATTTGAAAAATATGTACAAATTACGGCACAGGTTTTTGAACTATTTGGAAATTAATATTTACAATTGCTTAATGTAAACCAGCGCCCGCTTAATTAAGTTCTATTTAACCCAATTTAACTCTATTTTTGAATTCTAATTAGAAAATACAAGATCAGTAATTTTTAAATGGTTTAATGAAATTTTTGATAAAAATCTTTGTTACCTCTATAATCAGTTGAATATTTGTTCCCTGTAGTTGTCATCTCTCTATATCGATGATTCCTTTCATCCTACAATAAATAAAGTTATTTTATATATTATTATTATTATTAAATAAAATTAATTTTTAATGCTAAATTTTCAATAATATGAAGTAATTAATAGAACGTAAAATAAATGAAATACAATTTAAAAAAAAATAAATTATTTAATTAAATGTACAAAATAATAAATACAATAATTACATAAGTATATACAATAAAATTAATAACCTTTAATTCAAATTTTATTGGAACTCGAACGTATCCAATTAATTGATATATAATCATGAATTCAACCATTTTATGTGCACTTATTATAAAAAAAAAATCTATATAACAAATCGATTGATTGACAATTTCAAATCATCAATAAAGAAGAATGAAAACGATTGTTCAATTTTATTTTATTATTTAACTATTATTTAATTGAAAATTATTGTATTATAATTTATTAAAATTCAAATTATTAACAATTTTAATTGTAATGATTACAATAATTTTCCAAGTACTTTTTATAATTTAAGAATAATGAAGAAAATATAGATTTTACATATTTGCATAATTAAATTGCAATTGATTACTCTACAGCAATTTAATTTCAACTGAAATATTTTTTAATAGAATTATTCTTTATTAATTTTATATACACAATATGCATTTAATAAATTTCTTTTAATTTAAATAATAAACTACCTAAATACTTGTATACTATAGGTATACTCTACGTAATATGGTATGTAAGTGACAAAATCGATAAAAATTTCGTGATGCATTTCAATTATTTTTTCATATGAATAAATTATGATAAAATTACTTAAAAAATGAGTAAGAAAAAAAAAAATGAATGATTACTATAGAAAAAAAAAAAATAGAAAAAAAATGCAAAAAGAAATTTTTATTTATAATGTCAATTCGGTATAGCACAAAATATAGTCCAGTTACATTATACATATATACTCGTATGTATACATATACATTATATCGAATTAATTATTTTGTAAAATTATTTTATGATAGAATTTTGATTGCAGCGCCCAGATTGTGTAAACACGCAAATAAAATAGAAACAAACAAATTGGACTTGCATACATTCTAGTATATAATGTATGTATAATTATGTATATAAAAATATATATGTATGTATGTATATGAAAAATAAAATATAACATTTTTCTTAAAATAAAATTAGGACATTTTGTAATAAATAAAAAAAAAACAAAATAATAAATCGTTCGCTTCCTACTTCTATAGATATTTAATAAGGGATAGAGACATTTTGCCTCATTTAATCATAAAAATGCATATTAATAAAAATGCATAATAAAAATAGGAAATTATCTTATTACAAAGCATAAAATTATATAAAAACAATTTAAGTAACCTATTTTATCTTAATTGAAAAGCCTATTTATAATAAAAATTATTTATTTAAATTGATTTTTTAATTGTGTTTGCGTTTTCTAAACTATTCTAAATAAAACTTAAATTATAATTTTATATAAAAATAGAATTTTGTATTAATTTTAAATTAATTTAATAATAATATATTAGTATAATTATAAAACTGTACTATAGGGATATAAGTTTTAGCTTGTTTACCATCCACTTTAGCTTGAAAACGCACGCGTTTGTCTTTAGTCGCTTTTTTAAAAAAAAATTATAAACAACTTATCATTGAATTTGATTTTTAACTGTAAATTTGTGTTTTAAATAGAAATTGTGTATAACACGTTAATCGTTATGATAATTTTAGAAAAAATTTCACATGGGCCATTATAACTTTATTAGATAATTTAGTTAAAAATTGATACATTTTTAACTATCACAGAAAAATTTTTTTTTTGCCAAAATTCCCGGAAAAATACTATTTTTTATGTTACACATATGTATATGATTATGACATGGCGCTATATTAAAATCTTTTTTCTCGACAAGCCATGTCAGTCTTATACTCGTATGTCTGACGCACCCAAACAAGATACAACAAGATACAAGCAACATAATGTAAATGTATCGTTTGCTTCGGATATCTGTGATTGACGTACCAATTCGCGTACGTCAGACATGTCTGACATGGCTCATGTAGAACTTCTTAGCGTCAGATACATATGACAGACATTTTTGATTAACGTATTAAATATTAATATTCGATTCATTAAAGTAGGGATAAAATTTATTTAAAAGTGAAGATTTTATTAAATAAATTAGCTACCAAATTCTGTTGAAAATATTATATTAAATTAGCACAGTTTAAAGTGTTTCCCAAAATTTAGAATTTCACTCAAAAGAGTGATTAAAATGAAATATGTATGATGTTTGTCCGGGTCGTACTAGTGTGGACTAGATTTATACGTTAGGGAGTTTATAATTTTAGTATCAAATATTTATATTTTGTACCGGAATAGCGTTTTAAATACCGTTTTATCACTGAAAATTACTATGAAACTGAAAATTTTTTAACTGGTATTATGTATATGCATGTACTTAGTTAATATCGTAAGCTTATATATGTATCTAACTACGTAATCAATATATATGCCTATATAGTGTATTGTGTTATAAGTGAAATGCAGTTTACAATAGAGGGCATATTTTAGTTATGATTGGAAGGATGTAATTAACTAAATGTATATTTATGTTAATTTTAGTAATAAATAGAGGAAATATATATATTGTATTTCATGTAAACATATTTTCAATGTATTTGATATATTGTGTATATAAATGCATTTTAGTGCAATAGCGAAATTGTGTAGTAAAATATTTGTTTTGTATTCGAATTTTTGTCTTGAAAATCTTATTAAATTCTATAAACTAAATTAATCTTAACCTGTTACTTGAATCTTAATCTTAAATACAGTTCGAATGTTGACCCACTTACGATTTTAATATAATCATTTCCAATTCCATAGTTTTGCACTTCATGTGGTCCTGAATTTCCATAAACTTTTCTAAAAATAATTTATACATTAAAATTAATTGAAATTTTATTGTAAAATAAATTTAACATTAAAATAATTTTGTGATTTTAATTCAATTATGAATTGAAGGGGTTAATAAATAACACAAGCGATGGTGCCATAATTCAATTTTTGTCAAAACAAAATCATCACTTTTCTTTTTTTTTATTAGCTCCTTCATTTTTTGTAAATTATAATTATGAATATGAATTTAAAATCTAAAGCTTTGAAATTAACAAACTTTTTAAATATAAGATCATTGTTATTCCTAAAATTTCCAGATGTTTCTGGTAGATAATGTTGTTGTCTTAAGACTTTTTGTGAACGTTTTTTGATTGAAGTTGGTGAAACACTACCAATTCCAGATGCAATCCATCTAACATCAGCTGCCATTTTTTGAGAATTTTCAAGATTATTTATATAACCGGGTGATGGAACTCTTAAAGCATATATAACACAATCATCAGAAGTTATATTTGGTAATTGTTTGCGTGAAAGTCTCGCTTTAACTGCTGCCATAAAATCAATAGTATTTAATCGATTATCTATTTTTCCTTTATCGATACTATTGTTATGTACATCGGTAACACGTTGTACAATTTCCATTACAATTCTTGGTGATGAAACTTGTCCTAATATTGCTAAAATATCTAATGCCGCTTGACGGACACGTTTTTTATTATCTAAAGCAGCATAAGTTGCTCCAATAACACAAGTGGAAGTATCAAATGATGTACTTGGAAATGTCATTAATGCATACATTACAATTTGTAAAGCATTTTCACGAAACTAAAATATAAATTTGATAATTTAATATTTTAATTAACGAAACTAAAATTTTACCTTGGAACTTCTCGTATATAAAAATTCATTTGATAATAATTTTAGAACAATAGCTGATGGTGATAATCTTTGCATCAGAAGTTTTGCTACACGATTACTTCCAGGTCCTCCTTGACGGCAAATACCTGTTAATATTTGAACTGTTTGCTTTTCTAGATTATCTAATGGTAGCCGTGACATCAAATTCATTAGAACACGTTTTTTATCTTCACTAACAGATGCATGCCTCTCCGACGATAATAAAGCTCTCAATAATGATTCTAAATATGGTTGAACTAGAACAAGATTTTCTGGAGGTTTAAGTGATTCTTCTATCATTTGTATTGCATATGAACGGCGTTGCCAATCCTACAATTTATTTGAAAAAAAAATAAAAGAAAATTGTAAATATTTCAAATTTATTTTAAATTTATTTCAAATTTAATTGAATTTCATTTTGATTATTTTTGATATTAAGAAATCATAACTATGTCAGATTTCAGTTTTAAACCGCATGCTTTGTTTTTTTTTTTGGAGAGACAATTTTCTGGTTGTTCGTTCACCTATACATAAGAAACATTCGAAAAAACAGAGTGGAAAATCAGTGAGCTCTACATTATCTATGAAACCTATAAAATTGGTTTTAATTATTATAAAGACCTAGAAACATTAAGCCTTATGTTTAATAATAGTACAAGTAGCTCAGAGTGAAACGTTATTAGCATCTTTATACGGAAAAGACTTATAATTAAATTTTCAGCATTATAATTAAATTTTCATACATTTTTCTTGGTTTCCTTTGCTTGTATAATGCACTTGTGTATGATTACTACTGTTTTATGTGTATACCCAGACACAGGTTAATTCAATGTTCATTTTTGTTTTAATCAAATAAAAAAAAAAAATCACAATTAATTTAGTTATTCTGTGGTTATGCATTTTACAATTGTTGCACTTTATATAGCCAATGTTTTTTTTTTTCTATTCGATAAAATCATGCTTAGACATTTATAATTTGTCTGACACAATTTTTTCACAATAATAATCAACAATTAAAACATAAATCATGTATATAGGTACTAAATATGTATGTATGATTTAATTAAAATATTTATTTTAAATTTATAGTAAGTCTGTGTCAAAATATAAAGACTATTAACCCAAAATCTGATTGCGTGTTAAAATTGTTCAATTAAATTTTAACATATCTGACCCCATTAACCACTCTCAACCACATATAAATCAAAATATAAAAAAAAAAAACAAAATAAAATTTATGAAAAAGGACTCCATTCCTAATATTTTCTCGAAACAGGCATGTGGTTTATTTTGTTAATAAATCTGGTTAATCTAGAATTATCCCAATCCCTAAGATTTTGTTATTACATATTTAATTTTTTATAGCATAGGTACACTTGAAATTGTATAAGAATAATTTTTTTTTGGACTCATGTCTAAAAAATTTTCTTTGTCAATATTTTTATTAAATAATTATATAAAAACATAATTTGAGAGAAGTTTTTTTTTTGTAAAATATAAGGAATGATTTAAAACCCTACATGAAAAGTGCAAATGAAATGAAATAATAAAAAATGTAATAGAAAAATTAAAAGTAACACAATTGTAAAGGAAAACCCGAAATGAGGACATCTTTTACATGAAATCAAGACTAAGGTAAATTAAAATGTCTACAAATATTTCACGCAATAAAATATAGTTTGTAAGTTTTATATGTATTTGTATAAAATGTTACTGGATTATGAAATTGATAACAAGGTTGGGGTTTTCTAAATATACGTAAATTGTACATGAATATACTTAGGTATACATGCATGGAAATATTTTATATGTGTGTATATAAAATTTTTTATTGTTAATTAGAATTAAAATTTGTTTGTTAAAAGGAAACTCTTAACGTTGATTGTGTCTTGTTTCGAAAAATGGTTTATGTGTATAACTAACTACTTGTGTAATTTCATTCATATATGAAAATTGTTACTATAATTTACAATAAGCGCCGTAGTAATACGCAGTATAGGTATTTATAAGACACTGTAATAATATAAGAACTATTATATTTCTCTTTTTGCGATGCAGATGGCTTTTCAAATGATCAACTATTCAAATGAAGGAAAAAAGTACGATTATTTGGAGCAACAAATACTTATTAATTTGGTTTCATTTCCGTATAAACATAACGTTAAAAAGTACTACGGTGTAGTTGGAAGTAGGTTATAAATGGGATCCTGTTTTGTATAGAAATACTCTTATGAATCTACAAAAATGTAAGAGGCCACCACTACGAAAGCAATTATATTTTGATGTTTGTGTTTCATATAAGAATGTGCAGCCATTCGTCGTATAGTAATAAATGTGAGTTAGCAAGTGCTCATTGATTCATGATTTTAAGATTTATAATAATTTCCAAATTACTATTAATTGATTAGTCATTGACAATAATCAAATACCTCTCATATTTGAAAAAATCATAACTATTTCCTGGTTCCAAAAAGAGAAAATATTTGTTTTTTAAAAATATTGTTGATATATAAAAACAAATATGACAAACTTCCATAGAAAAAGAAAAACTAATCAAAAGCCTACAAAAACTCATGGTATCGCATTCGTATTTAGTAAAAAAGGATCAATCAATGTCAAATTAATAACACTTAGAATCCTTTATATTTTTTCTTATTTTAATTTTTCCTAAATTTAATAACATTATGAAGGTAAATGTGTGTGTATGTACATGTAATTTGTATACAATATTCGATTTTAACATTTACACTTAAAATCGATTTTAACATTTACACTTAAAACATTTTATTAACAAATTTCATTTCAAACCATTCGTACAATCATGACAATTATAGGATAACAAACAATAATACCCTTGAAATGAAAGACATGAAATATAATTATAACTAAATTTAAAGTTGTGTATCATGCGTTAATAACCATTCAATAGAGATCGATAGAGTTCAAAATATTTCTATACTTCTTATAGAGTATATAGACTGAAAAGGATATTGACCGTTTAAAATGATTGCAATCAATTTTTAATTTTTTTTTTATTTGTTAATAAAAATTTATTCATCATTCTTCTTTGTAAAAATTTGTTCACTGGTTTGTAAAGTTGCCCTTCTCTCAAAAATATATAGGGATGGCATTAATACAATATATTGAAATTAATTAAAAATAAAATTAATATATATATATATATGGTTATGGTCCTTTTACAAAAAAATGAAGAACTATTATGCTACCACGATATCATGAAACTAGGTTGTTATTCCGGGGTTCCGCTTAACATTTTATTTTGTGTAGTTGTAGGTTGCCTGTTTAAATCACTACCCTTCGTTAATGTAGTCACTAATATCGCTTATGTCGTGCCATCTTTTGCTTTACATATACATATAGTGTTTCGTTTTAGCAATCGTTATAAGTTTATCGTAAAAGAGATCAGCAAGTTTATACTAATACTCTGCCACTAATAAATAAAATACTGTACCACTCGAACCATCTAATGGATATGGGATACATTACCTGTTGGTATTAAAATTCGATAACTGGATATCTTTAATTTTGTTTATAGCACTTTTAGTTCCAAGATTTTCTCTATTACATTTATATATGTAACAGAGAAAATAGAAATGATCAGTCTTCAGCATTTTCATGTGAATTTTTTCTTAATGTTAGGATAAAGGTCATTCTAACTGTCCAACTGCTTGAAATAGTGTATTCTTAGATATATGAAAATTAAATTTAAATTTAATTTAATACAGAGTGGGGGACCATTTATATAAAATGTAATGTATACCCTCAAAAGACCCATTTAGAATGAATTTAATTTGATTAATGACAGAAGTTAAGAGAGAGAGTAAACCAATAAATTATAAATTTACCTCACAAGCAGCTTACAATTTGATATACTTAATTTTATTGAATTCAATAATTTTATTGAATTTTATAGTAGTGATGGGCTCTTTTACATGACAGTCTCTTATAGTCGTATTTATAGTGTACTCATTTCATTTAATTTTTATTGTTTGAACAATAAATTTGTTGCTCTAATTTTCTATTTAATTATAATAAAATTTTCTTTTTTAATCTCATACTATAAACACTGAAAAATGATCTATTTACTTCATTTAATTTATAAAATTATTGAGTTTTTATAATTGTGATTACAAATCAAAAATGTATGTAAGTATATGTGTATTGTATTTAGTGTGACAGTTACAAACAATAAGATTTTCTGATTACATATTATTAAAATGAAATTTTCACTTTTTCTATTTTATTTCACGGTAAATTTTTATAAACAATTAGATTTAAATTACAAGCCTAATTGTTCTTACCCACATTTTGTAATAATATATAGGTACTCGTGTTAAATAAAAGTGAAAGAACAAAATTAGTTCAAAACATTTTTTATAAATCTACATATACCAAAACTTCTACATCTTTTTTTTACTAATTCTTTGTCGTCTTGGCCCTTCTCGTCCCTTTTTTTTTTGACTGTAATTCTAATGTTAATTTCTTTATAATAATACAAACACACTAAATAGCTATATAAATCTGGCAATAAATGTTGGAATGGAATCAATATTACCATCATATTTAAAGAAAACAAAGAAAAAAATTATTTTGTAGTCCTATGGTCCTATATTTAGGTCTTTAAACAATCAAATTTCTTTAAAAAAAATGGTTTTTTATTTTGTTAATTTGTTTTTTTATGAGAAAAAAAAATATTTTTATTCATTTAATTATTTGTCATTTTAATTCTTTTTTAATACTCACATCAAAATTATTGTTTAGAGTGGTATTATGAAATTGAAAATTCTATTAAAATTCTATTTGTTTAATTTTACAATACAATTGGAATAAATGCTTGGTTTTGAGTTCTTCTATTTGTATATAGTTGAGCAATTCAAAGATTCATCTAGTTGTAAATTCGTGAACTCTAGTTGGAATTATGTTAAACACAAAATTGAAAAATTCGTTTGATTTTGGGGCATTTGAAAATTTTATATTTAATAAAATAAGTGATTAATTTCAGGGGCAATGAGGTGAAATCGAGCTCAAATAGAGTATAATTACGAATTTGAAAAAAAAATCGAGCTGGCAGAGTTTGGACATATACACCATCAAACCAAATACATAATTGCTATTATATAAATTTGAGTACGAGGAATTGAGAGCATGTTCAATTCATAAGTATAGATTCCAATAATTAAAAAAACACTCAAAAAAAACTTTGATAGTATTCATTTTCAAAACTATGGATACTATTAGTATTCAATATTTAATATTTTTTTTGCACAGATATTTTGCCTTAGTGGCACCTTAAAGGTGTAAAGGTTTAA